ATAAATTCAACTAATAAACATTGATTATTAATGTCAATTTTTTTTTATATAAGAAATGGAGAAATTATATTAAATAAAAAGGAAGTAGAGAAAAAACTCAGTTACAGGACATATAGCTTAAAAGATAAAATTGTACTCATGACGAATATACGTAGACAATTAAGTAAAGAGAATCATCTGTAACTAGATATTGCAATTGCAATTGCTGTATAAATTAAATACAACTATTAAGGTAGAAAGGAGAATCTCTCTAATTCTCACCTATTTAACTAGCTTCATAAGAAAAGCAAGGATTCCGACAACAAATAGTCGTCAACCTACAAGTTACCGTCCAATCTATTTCTAAAAATTAACCAACAAAAGGAGGGGCATACTCCCCCTATGCAAGCACAATGCAGCCCAGCCTTGAATACTATTCTTCCCTTGCAGAACACAATCAGCCACCCCAAAAGTATCCTATTCCTTTTTGTCAATTCTCCGCACAAGCATAGGCATCCCAGGCGTCGCTGTATACCCCCGTTTAGGTTTCCAGCTTTGCTAAACCTTTGCAAACCCATACTATCAAACCTCATTAAGGGAACTAGAGCCCCTTTGCCAACTTGAATACCATGCTTCTCGTGCCAACCATAACCGGTGTCACCCACAACATCCCTTTCCCTCTGAATTTGGTAGCCTGAACAAAAATTGGAATGAAGTAACCTCACTGAATTTGATCCCTGCCAAGATCCCATCCCAGGAGATGCGCCAAAGTGAGGCTCTTACGCGATAAATAGGAGAAACCCAACCACCAATAGGATCAATTCCCTCACTATGCCAGTCGGAGTCGTCAAAAAACACCCCCACATGTAGGTATGAATATGCCACTACCTTGTGGTTCCTTGAGTTGAAGTTTCCAAAGCAAGACAAGCAACGAAAGTGGAGAAGAGAGCAAGAAGGGGAAGGAAAGGGTAAGAGGAAAGCAAAAAAGGAAGAGCTCCACTATCGAAACAAGACCCTAGGGAGGAACCCGCCGTCTCTGCCCTAACCCTAAGTAGAGCACAGGAGAAAAAAAGCTATTAATGTCAGAATTTTTAATTTTGCAGCTAATATGTAAAATTAGTGAGGGAACGCCGGCATCATTCACCATTGACATAGATACAAGCCTTTCTTGGTATTCTACTTTTCTTAATAAAATGGATGTAGGAGAGAAGGTAAAAAATCTTCTATTTTTAAGTATTTAAATTTCTTATTGTTATTTGACCGCTTTTATACGCATTTAATCTTTGATGATTTGACTTTATTTGAAGGCAGCGGCATAAAA